GGCGCTCGCCGTTTGTCACGGCGTCCGCGGGGCCGACAAGCGCCACGAAAAAGGGAAAAACAAGGCAGGGCTTTTACTAGTCGCGTCGCTCGCTGAGCAGCCCCGGGGTGGTAGTCGCTGTTTGGAGTGATGCACCATTAAGGCGGAACAGGGGTGTAATTGCAGGGAAGGGTGGGATCAGCCTTTGCTTGCCCAGCACTGCGGGTTGCAGAAATGCTGGACTGCCTGAAACAGGCTGCAAAATTCTCTGTACGGCCCATTACTTTTCTTACGGTAGCTACAGCAGCTATCACTTCTCACTAAAAAAACTACTCGAAAGATAAAACATTGGTTATTGTAACGACAGCACATTCACGATGAAGCGGGGGATTGATTTGAGGGGGAAAAAGAGTGGATCCATCACCAGAAAAGAGGCTTATTTGCAGTAATAGTTGTGCTTTTGGTGAGTGACCCCCAGTTGTGAAGCAAATATAGCTTCCACCTTTTATTATATTAAAAAAAAAATCTATGAAGAACAAAATAAGCTTTCCCTCCACTGCAAAAACATGCCACATTTTTTGTTCAATGAAAAGAGAAAGCAGCAGCAGCAGCCAGCTGCTTCTGTTATGTGCCCACTTCAACCTGTAATTTTATAAGGGTGACAATGTCAAGATTCGGCAAGTCTTTAGGTAGTTCCGTTCTGCTCAGGATTCAGTATATTGCTGCCGAGGACAACATACAATATTCTGGCAGGGTAAGATTTAGCTCAGTGCTCCTTTACCGTCCGGAGCTGGGCTCATACACAGCTTTGTATCTCATCTCCGTGATAACTCAGCTTAGGTTCATTACATCCCTTCTATTATCAAATGTGACAAAGAGGAAGCACGCTGGTCAGCACCATGTTTAAGCACCTCCTTTGGACCAGTCTTGAAAAAGGCTGTTTACCAAAATGTCATCTGAAAAGAGGGTTCAAAGGCAAGCAGATGAAAACTAACAAATGAAGTTAGTTAAAAGAGGGAAAACAAGCAAAAATAACTCCTGTATTCAACAACAGAGGAGGCAGAAATAGCAAAGGGAAAAAGAAATGCAAAAAGAAGCACAGGCACATTTTCAATACAGTGTAACTTGCTATTTACTGAATGTAAATTTAAAATAATGGAAAGAAGTGTCTTATTAATGAAATGTACTCTTTGTTTAATAAAGCCAAAAAAAATCAGCTTCTGTAAAATTACTGGTAATGTATTTATCATATTCTTTCTACTTCTGTTTGAAACACTTTTCCAATCAGCAATTTTAACATATCAACATGAACATAATTAAATCATCTATATACAAATTATCGTTTTTCTCAAGATAATAAGAAAAGCCACCCTTACTCAATAAGTGCATCTTTAAAACATTAGTAATGTGACCAATACAAAAATAATGACACCTAGTTTACAGTGCACAGCAAGTTCTTCAAAAATACACAGAAAAAGACGTTACCTTTGTTTCTTCAATCCTCATTGCATCTAGCAAATAGTGCAGAAGCTCCTGGCTGTCCTGTTGCTGGAAGCCCTTAAATCGAGGGGCCCTGGAGGAGAAAGAAGAATTTACTTGGGGGGCTCTCAGTAAGGCAACATCTACATCAACATTTTGACCCTATGGGGAATGTTTGACCAAAATGCAGCTTTGTGTGCTGGCATCCACGCTGGCAGCACTTCTGTCAGAGCACACCAGCACTACTGCAGCAGCAAATGGCCCCAGGTATTATTATTATTAATAATTGTTATTATTATCAGGTAAGAGTAATGATTCTTCAACTAAGTTTTAAAATGAAGTACTACAGAAATGAACTGAGGCATTGGAGTTTGTTAGACTGGGGAACAAAAGTTTGGATGTGGATACGGTGTAAAGTGATATTAGTTCATGATACTAATTTTGTCTGCGAGATGGGTGAGCAGTACCTATTGTAGAAGTGTGTGCTTCAGCCCTCTCGCTTACAATAAAGTTGAGCAGCTTTTTTTCTCAGATCTGCACCAGCAAAAAATCCCATTAGAGCTGCCACTAGAAAAGACAGTACTTTTGCATAAATGCAAATATCACTGTCTTTTGGATGTGCGTTATCACAAGACTGTCTGAAATTCCCAGATTGCATGCCCACCTTCTAGAACATCTACTAACATTAAACAACGAGCTGAATTGTCAAAGACTGCAAGAGCATTAAAAACAACAACAAAACACCTAGCCTTCTTTCACCAAACTTCTCATCTCTACAAATGAGAAGACTCACAGCAAAGGACCGACGTGCCTTAGAGGAGGCGCCTCAGGTGTTGCCCTCCTCCTCTCCCCACGCGCTGTCCTTTGGGCTGACCTCCTTTGGGGCGTCTGGCCGCGGCACCAAAAGAGGTCAGCCGGCGTGCGAGCCAGCCCACGGACAAAGGGGGAACCCTGGCAGCTGATGATTTTTTGCTTTTACCCTTTATTAGGCAGGACAAACGAAAACCTAAGCCTCCACAGCAAATAAAATTTTTGTAAAAAGAAAATCAGCAGCAAGAGCTCGCACCAAAAGAGGAAAAAATAAATCTACTTCTGACTGGACTACCATTTTCCACCAAGGATGCACAGGCTTAACAGTGCCCCTGCTTTCAGCATTCAGCAGACTAAAGCACTGCTACTTGAAAACTGTAAAGTCCC